TTTTTTTTTTTTTGGCTTTCCGAATATTGGCCTAGACTATTCTAATCAGCAGAATTTCAAAAAAAATCTGAGATATGAAAGAAGAAAAGTGTGCAATTTGGCGTGAAATGGTTTGAGCCTACAACTTCTCATATAAATAACTCTTACTGGAGGAGACAGTACACTGATCATTATGAACCGTTTAAGATTTGAAAGATCGTGAACTGAATTACTGTAAGAGAGAGTAAGCAGATGAAACGGAGCTATCTGCAAGTTCTGAAGAATAGACTGCAGCCACTGTTTGAAGCAAGTTGTGAGCTTCATCGATGACAACGACGTTGTCTTTTAGCGATACGCCCCAAGCTTTTCGCGTTTGTTTATGCAGCAGCACCTAGGCCAAAAATAGTATACTCTTGATAACGAACCAACAAGACATTTCTAAAATTAAAAACTTGTTCAAATTCATTAAGCAAAGTAGTGTTAGTTCTAACTTGATAAGGAAGTAAAACAAGTTGACATAAAGGAACTGCCTTCCGAGAGGCAAAATACGGACAACCGCACAACGTTCTGCCAGTATCAACAAGGTCTGTGCTTGTTGATGCTTGTGCAGCAAGCACTTTATCACCGAGTTCTTCAATAGCCTCTACTTTATAGAAGGGACAACCACCACGAGATTTCTGTTTGACTGCCTTAGAGAATGAAAGAAGAGTTAGGCGATCAGAGATGTAAACAATATGACTGTTAAATAATTTCTCCCTAGCAAAAAATACATACCATAGTCTTTGAAAAAATCAAAAAGTGACTAAGTAAGATACCAAATAACTTTTGTCCTTTAAAAACACAGATCTTAATATCAAATTGTAGGTGTGGAATCCGGGGTAGTGAGAGAAAGAAAAGTGCATAATGTATTACTAACCCCTTCTGCAGACTTCAAAGCTTTGATGCCAGTTTTTTTCGCCCTAAGTTCATCGCATTTTTCATTAATTAATGACGAGCTTTTCAAGCATTTGACGGAATCATTCAGACAAAGTAATTGTCGCGAACCTATAGTAACCACTCTCGGGCGAAAGCTACAAGTTTTGAAGTTTGTAAAGACCATTAAAAATATTAAGAAACATTAAAAAAGACTGAATTTCTGTGAACCGTGTTTTACGTATCTCGGCGGAAAACTGCTCTAGTTGTGAATGAGTTCGAGATGCATAAAATATTTTCACGCATGATAAATCCAGTTCTTCAGTTTTTTCGTCCTCACTTTCGCTCGAACAATTATCAGGCACAATAAAGTCCTGAAGAATAATTGATACAACAGCTTCATCTTCACTCCAGAGTAATACATTACCCAAATGCAGTGTCACGAGTAAAAACTTTTAAGTCTCAACTCACCTCCTCTGATTCTTCTTCTGAAACCTCATCTTCGTCCACAACTGTCTCCTGAATAGGCAAAAACTTCCTCTTTCGCTTCAACGAGTCGCTTTCAAGATTTTGGATTTTTTCTTCAATTTTCCTGATTACTTCCAACTTTTGCAGTGATTCTTGAGCCTTCTGTCTATTTGCATATTTCCTCCTGTAAGCATCAATCCAGTCACTGCTGTCATCATCTGCAAAAATAATTCTAACTAATAATTCTAACATAAAGATATTTAAAATTGCAATAACTTTTATTTAGTCATAATTCAGATCGCTAATTGCTAGAGTTGGTCGACAATAGTTTTCCTTAAAAGCCGTTCACATACGCAATTTCTGCACAAACGCCCTAGTTCCATTATCACTTGTAAATCATTTCGCAGTGATAGCAGTGTATCTAATACTAAACTACTTTTAAAAGGGTTTGAAAATCAAGCTTACGAGAAAAACACTCAAAACAGAGAGAAAAAGCGACTGGATGGCAATATGGGAATCATTCATTATTGGATTTCACCGAACGAAGATTACAGAAAATTCGATGAACACTGTCATTATAACATTTTAGTACCCAAAATGTGTAAAATATGTTACTCTGCTCAAATCCTACTTTTTTTTTGAACAATTAGCACAAAGAAATTTTTTTTTCCGTTTTGATAACATATATTATATGATAGCATTCAATTGTTAATTAAATTCATCAACTAAATGTGTTAAAAGATCAGTAGAAGCCACTTACTGTCATCCTTCTTATCAGCTGCTTGGCACTCTTCCTCTAGACGACCCTTTTCAAGTTTTTCAAACTCCTCAATCCATGTTAGCACGGAGCAGATGATACTTAAGGACTTTCCAGTCCCCGTTGGCGATTCAAAAATACCCACTTTCCCATCTTGGATACACTGGTAGATTTTTTTCATAAGAGTCGTTTGAATGTCATATGGAGGGAATGGGAAACTAAATTCTGACATCTTTCAAAATGGTCTAAAAAAACTTAAAACTTTTCGAGCTCATACGGTAAGCAAACCGAGTAAACTACAACGAAACAAACAGCTCAGACGGTCATCAATTACTGCTGTAATAACTCCACAACATTCGGCCTAAATAACATTTATAAAAGCGATGGCCACAGCAGATACAAAGTTAACACAAACGCCAACATGAGTGAACAACTATCCTCAAACCATTTCCGATCGCTACGACTAAATACAATCTCAAAATTCTCACATCACGCTCCATACCAACTGGAAACCGAATGGCTCAGTAACTTCCCAAAGAGAGTGGAACTTAGCGAAACCGCATCAACCACATTCACTACATCTTTCAAAAACGTTTTCCGAAAGCTACAGACGGCCGTTGGTTATTAGCCCAGTAAGTCAGTCAAGACGGATGGGTAAACAAACTAGAATAAAACTTCGCCCTAGAAATCACCAGTTTAATACTCCAGCCAACCAATCACACTCCAAATCTCTGAAAGGCTGTGTTATCCCTTCTTTTATCGAAATCATTGTGCTTTAAAATGAATTTCTTTCTTTACTTTGAACACAGCAGTTACCACGGCTACTGCAATAAAAGCAAGACCGTATTAGGAAATAATACAATAAAAGTAAAATAGCAAAAACAAGAACTTGTAAAAAATTTGGGAATTGACACAAAAACAAATAAAGTGAAAGACACATGAAAAAAATCAAATCCAAATTTCATGGCATAAAAAATAATAACTGTATTTACAACACGGCGTAGCATTTCAAACCAGAAAAACATTGGAATTATGTATGAATACTAAAAAACCATGAGATACAGGTAGAGCGTACCCTCAAAATATTGTTGTAAACGTTTTCAACCTGCTTATTGTAACTTTATAATCATCAATTAACTGTTCGTACTGTTGCTGCAATATTTTGAGCCTCTGCTCAGGGTCCATCTGCCCAGCAACCACTGCAGCCAACTCCCGTTCATCTAATGCTCTTGCAATTTTCCTCCAATCCCGCTCACTCTTCTGCAAAACCAAATATCCATTTGAAAACCAACGGCGCTCAAAATTAAACTTTTAAAAGAAATGAAGCTTAATGAAATTCTAAAACCGAAAGCGGAGATGCCAATATACAACCTTCAATGGCTTTTCCAGTCTCCTTTTTACGTCGATCCTGTACGCCTTGAGTGACGACGGGTCCTTTATATCCGTATGCATATAACGCAAGATTTCGTAAACACGACGACACTGCATCTGTAGTTGCGAAACAAAGATTAACAATACCGTCTCATCTAGAAAACGAAATTCATTCAAAGCTACTTCTTTTACGAGCGTGGAAAAACTTACTGCATTAATCTTCAACTTCTCACGCGCAGCATCTCTCATTTTATCACTGAAGCCATTAACTAAATTCTCCGGTGCAAATTCCTGCAGTTTGGAGCAATTCAAACAATCAACATAGTCACGCAAGTAAATGAACTCGTCTGCAGGATCTTCAACTACAAAAAAGGCATTCAAACGAAAAGAACCATATTAACATCTTCAAAAAATACAAGCAGCTTAACATAAATAAACCGTGCCCACCCAGAAAATTTTGACGTACAAATTCCTTAAAAAAAGAAACAATATTTTGAGGTCAACTATCCAAGGAAGCCAGCGATAAGAGATACCAGTAATGTCTCTGACCATCTTATTCGTCCTCAAATCATTATATATACTTTGAAGAAACTTTGCTCCGTTACCCTCCCTTCGGTAGGGGGCTAGAAGCATGATCTGTGCAATTCGTGGACGTATATGTTCAGGGTAACAATAGAAGTTATAAATTGAACAATAGCCTGCCAAAAAATATAAATGCCTTCCTCCTTCTAGACTTCTCTTGCTCTCATATCTGTAACCAATAGTAAATTTAACAGGAAACATTAACTTAAAAGCGGAAAAAATTTTGCAGAATTCGAAAAATGTTTTCAATAAAACCACAACGTACACAAAGTAGTGGCACCATCGGGGGTCATCATTATCTGTATACTGGGCCGCTTCAATGTACCACAGTGCCAACGTCTGCACCCGAGCCAAATAGCGATCAAATGAGGGGGAACGCTCTACTACCTTCCAGACCTGCATCTCCTTCCCATCTGTAAAAACAGGATCCAATTTATAAAGGTGAATTGAAGTAAAATGATGTTTAACAAACATTGCATGAAAACAACAAAATTCAGCGGTAAATCTCAGTATAAAGATAAAACATACTAGTTACAAACTTAGACAACAGTTCTCCATATGGCTCAAAAGTGGTTTGTTCTTCCAGCCGAATCCTAAATTTTTCTTTTGAACTCACCATAGCATCCATGTCCCACTTAGGAAGTTGAACTCTTAGTTTCTCGCATATGTTATCCGGCTAAAGCAGTAAACGATATAATATTATAAGCTTTCCAATACCTGAACTGTAACTTGTGACAACAAATGTTGAATCTACAGCAAACGAGCACACTAAAAACTACTTAAAAGAAGTTTACACCAACGGATTCCATATTAAAACAGCTATATATCAAAAAAACTCACTCCTTACAGTTTTCCAGACTAACTCACGGAAACGATTTTTTTTTTTGACAACAAAAGATCCAATTTATGCAGCAAATCATTATAAAAAATGGAAATCTAATGAAGAAATAACCAACAACCATAAACACACATACAACATGGTAATATAGGTATGTATAACTCTAAGCAGAACACTAACCTTAATATCGCTTCTGACACTTGAGATCGTCTTTTCGAAACTGATAACCGGAAAGATGTACATAGTAGCAGACGTATAAGCGAGGATGACGGAGAGTCCTGAGTACCCAAATATGGTTTCACTGGAAAAGACCGGAACAAGACTTAAAACCCAAGTGATGCAGAACCAAATTTAAGATTAACTGCTAGATTTGGAACTTCCGTTGGCAAGAAATCGTAAATGAACTACATCAAAACAGATAGCAAATAATCCTACTAACTCACTAACTGTACTAATGTAACAGCGGCAGTCACACCAAATACAATAAAAACAACCCTTACTTCTGACCAAAATGCTGATAGGCAAATTCTGGCTTATATCCTTCAGCGCTCTCTATTTCCTCGACACTACTGACTAAAATTCAAAGATGGTGAAAAAAGTAGACATCATTATCATGCCCATTTCATAGCTCAACTTGCAATAGTTAAGGAACAAATCAATTTCCTTGTAAAATCCTTACATGCTTTGTATGTTTAAAGGATGTGTGAACCTTCATAAATTTTCAGAAACGATCATTAAAAAAATCCCATAAGCCTACATTCCAGAAATTGAAAAATGCCTTACCAAATTTAATCTTAACAACTTCAAGCGCATTGACTGCAAATTCGGATTCAACTGCATTCGGCAAAATTGATTTTTTAATACAGTCCATCAAGATCCATATAGAGCAACAGTCCTACTATTGCTCCGCAGTTCTAACTCAATAAAATACTCTTTAGTGTAGCTAAAATCGAACCTAAAAGCATAGGATTATGTCTGACGTATGGACAAGAATAAAAGCAAAACGTTCATAACGAAAGAAATTCCAATGACCTAACTTTCAACTAGCATAAAGAAAAAAAGTATATAAGATACGCTTTACATTACCGCTTTTCCGACGACCAAACTAATGAATCACTTTTTTTTTTATTTTTTGCATCACTTTTAATGCTATAGGCGATTATCCTTGGAATTCCATTTCGCAAATAAATAACTACTGTGATGATCAAATAAAGAGATGTGGCGCTTCTATTCTTTAATTTTTGGTCCCTTATTTTCGAAAACAACAATCGCCTGCTTTTCCATCTCTTTGTTCTCCAAGCGTTTAACCAACAACGTGGTTTCGGTAATAACTAAATTCCGAAGAAACTTCTTGTACAATTTTTTTATTGTTTTTGCTTTCTCCTCTGTTTAACTTCAATACAAATAAGAGTAATAGGCTAATTTTTGCGAAATTTTATTTACTTCTGAACCGCTTAAGTTTCACAAAATTATTTGCAATCCTGTTGTTTTCCCATGAGAAAAAGAAGCAGATTGCATTCACGTTTTCTATAAAAATCCTCAAAAAACTTGTAAAAAATTCTTGAGACAAAGTGAGAAAAAAAAATCTGGACAAATAGTTTTATGCAATCATTAGCTGTTGTTACTGCTGCTGTTGCTGCAAAAAAATAAAAAAAATTCCTCAGATGACTCAACATTTTGTTGGTTTTTTTTGCTTTGGCAAGAATTTAATAGCAGGAAAGCGAAGAAAATGGAGCAAAGTTCAACGGTTTAAACTAAAGTATAAGAAAGGGCTAAGGAGCAAAAAAAAAAAAAAAAATTTAAGGGTCATTAACAAAATTCGATTCCAAATTACACTTCAGCTTTTCTCTCCTCTCGTATTAATACAAAAACCTCCAGAATTATTTAAACCAGTTTTATGGATGTTTATGCAGTTTAAAATTACTACTTTTTTAATCAACATTTACCGTTAACTTAAACTGTGTTTACCGAAGGAAACTTTTTTTTTTTTGTTTTCAGCATCTTTAATTATAAATTACTGGTATCTATTTCTTCAAAAAAATTATTTTTGATCTGAAAATATGCATTAAAGAAAGCGAAATGTTCACAAGTTATAATTAATTCTATATCTTTCTTCTTCCATAAACTTTGCAATTTTTTTCCCTTCTATCCTACTCTCAAAACTAAGAGTGCCATATGCGCTTAGTGTTCGGTAATCTGCTTAAAATCGTAAACTATATAGCTGTATACCAAATCACTTTCAAGACTTCTCATATTTTAAACTGTAAGAGAGAGGAAGAGAGAAAAACTTCTCTTCTTCTGTTAAGTTTAATTTTAAATATTCTACAAACATAATACCTGTCCTAACATCGTAAAAGTCCTCTTTCCTTTCCTTCTTCTTCTTTTTTCCCTTTTTTATAACATATTGAGCACTAACCTTCGTTTAGAAGTAACAGCACAAAAAATAAAAAAAGAAAAAGACTAGACAAAACATAGATTGTAAAACACTTACATTGACAGATTTTGACTTGTATTTAACAACCGAATTAAAACAAAAAAAAAAATGTACAGCTTTTAAATGAAATGAAAACAAAAAAATGAAAAAAAAAAAAAGAATAAAACAAAATAAAACAGTATTATGAACAAAAATTTTGGCAAAAAAAAAAAACACCCTAATCATTCAT